GCCGATTGTTGCCTAGGGTGCGCCAGACCACGCATGAAAAAAACAATGAAAGTACCACACCTCACACATTCTTCATTTGAAACACTATAAAATTTTGATATTGATTGGTTGTAGTTTCTTTAATAAAAAGAAATAATAGATTCTGGATTGTTAATATAATTTAAACTTTACCCCCTGTTGGCATGTCTCGATTGTGAGAGCATATTATGAAATATGATTATGAAACAGAAATGCTGAACAATTCTGCATTTGAATCACTCTTGTTTAAATCACCATAAACACAACAATAAAATACGTCTAACTATCCGATGTAATTCTTCAAACATCGAGCAAACGATTCAATTCTACAATGATTGGCGCCCATAATTGACCCACATTATGCAACGTGAGTGCACCGCGAGATCATGCGAATGTATGTAATTTTTTTTTTCAAAGGTTCGTTTCGATATTAAGTCGATCTTTTCTTTTTTTTTCTTTTATACAATTTAATTTTCTTCCATTTTTACGTGACACGAGGACACACGAGATTTTAACAGCAGTAAAGCTCGTTGTGTAAGAGATCGTCCAAGGAAGTACTGCCACTTTACCTATTTATGCCGCCAAGCAGTAATGTTAACATGACTGCGTTCCGGTGTGGAAGGGTAAGGGTGCTAGTGAAATTACAGGCACATGGGACTTGTCAACTTATGTCTCAGGGTGACGAACGCAGTGGCAGTGCCCCTCCAAATCTTTGCGATTTAAATCTCTGAGTTGCACTGCAACTGTTATGGACAGGCGTGTATATACAAACAATTCCTAGAATTCTTCATTATCTAAGCTATTCACATCCGGAATACAGATGACTAAACATTACAATACTTCCGAAAAGGATGTTTCATTAGTAAATCGAAAAACAAATGATCATGAGTCATTTACTAAAAGTGGATAGAAATATCAGGGCGTGGATATCTAAGTATGTATATAGATAAGATATATCGTACTTTTCATACAATAGTGTATTAACTCAAAAAATTTATTTTTTCACAATCGATGAAAAACTAATTACCCACTTCCCGTAAAAGATCATTAAAATTCATGTATAGTTAAAGTTTATGACAGACATCTAAACAATCCGAACATGTAATTATTTCAAAAAAATATATTATTATAAAAAAAAATTATTCGTATTTTTGAGTATGGCCTGTTTTTGTCCACAACTAGCTCACAAAAAGCTTTACTTATTTTGAGTTAAGTAGACATATTTTAATTGTTTCTACTACTTTCACAATATTCTAACAACGATTTTACTGACATGTTTAGAATCAAATTTTACGTTCAGAAATTGTTTAATCTTACAAATAATTTTTAAATGAAATTTTACATATTTTGAGTTGCAACACTATTGTATGTTAGCGTAGCTTATAATAAATCGATAAATTTATCGTAAAAAACCGACTTTCGAATTCTGTATTATATCGTGCATCAGAGCCTCTTGCAAAGACGGGTGAAGCAGATGAGTTCCTTACGTACCATCGATTGCACAATGCTATATGAGGCATGAAGATTGTTTAGTCGCTATTCGATTTTAGACATCTTAGGTTCAGCGTGCTGATTTTGATTCAAATCGGAATAAAAATCGAACCGATCGGATAGTCTCGAAATCAGATGGGTTTCCGAGCGAGAAGATGAACCTGATTCCTACTATATCTTTCTAATTTGCGAGTTAAATCAACTATTGTTCCGATTAGAAATGTCAAAAGTTTCCGATCGGCCAGTTGTGAATCGCAATTATGCGCCTCGACTCGGAAAAGACGCAGTTTCCAATCGGGAGAGGCAATCAAAATCAAGCTGCTGGCCTCCAGTCCGTTTCGAGCAGACAGAAATACCCTAAATTTACCCTACCATTTCGGTATATGTTTTCCAAAAAAAAGGAGATTGATTAGTTGGCTTCGAAGTTTAGTAGAAAAACAAAGGAAGTTACCAGTTTCCTAAATTAATTTCTTAGTTCTATGTTTACACGTCATAAGACTTAAATGCATAAGATATTACATACGTTAAGTAAACATAGATATACGTAGATATATTACGTACATTAACTTAACATATAGGTATGTTGGTTGATCTCATTGCTAATTACTTTTGCCAAAATTGATAAGTTATAGCTTAACCGGGGCTGGTAGCTGTAAAGGTATCCAACTGGGTGATGAAATACTTTCATAGATTACAAAGATCCGACAACAAGCACATAGAAAAATTTGTGAGATCCGCTTGTTTGTTACGTGGCTTAGTTGGCATAGCGTCTGGCACGATTTGCTAAAAGACGTCGGTTTGAATCCGGCCGGATCGCAGGAATTTTTTCCAAGTGTTCGATCTTTGTATTTATAATTATAACAAGCTAGTGTAGCAATTTCACAAAAACAATTGAAAATCAATGCAACAGAAATTTAAGCTATAACGTCATGAGTAAAAGGTCGGTTTTTTAGTGATGTTTTAACAAATTAAAGTTTATCTTCGTACGATTATGCCTTTAGGTTATTGTTTTTTTATATAGCGTAATTAAAATTAAATATTCTTCTAAATTAAATTAAACTAAATTAAATATAATTCTCTGCATAATTAAATATTATTTTCCATTTGTAACATTCACGTATGGAGAATAATAAATTGTCTAAAATAGGTATGATACAGATACTTCAACTTCGCACTCACTAAAACAATCGAATAAAACCATTGTAACTCAATGAATAAAACGTAAAATTGCACAATATAACGCCAGAAAAAGAGAAAAGAAATCGTCATTACCCAGCGTCTTCCTAGAAAGACTATGAATTTTCGCCGAATAAAAACATAGTAATCGTTTACAATTTAGGTAAACATATAATATAAGAAAAAATTAATTAGTTTTTATTGAATATGTCTGTTTATATGACAATTAAACAAATACACATTTACCCAAAATTAATTTGTTTCCGCTTTTATTGTTACCTAGATGTTTCTATTTTAGACATCTAGGTAACAATAAAAGCATTGGCTAGTAGTTTCTTCGTTTTGAGAGTTTTAAATTTTTCCCGTAAAATTGTGATTTTAATACCACTTAATTCTATATAGTAGCGATATATATATGCAAGAATACTACCTACTCAGTGCTATATGTATATATGTATATACATATATGTATACGCACTGAGTAGACAAATACACCTGTTATCATTTCGATAATTCTAATATTGATTGCAACTTATTGGAATTACTTGTACTCGAGTTTGTTGATTTTGTATGCAATTGCGATATCGCTTCTAGAAAGCAAACTCATTAATAACTGTAATGGTGTGCATAATGTTAAGCGTAGGTCGAAATTACGTTTACTATCCATTGACTTACAAATAAATGAACGACGGGTCTAATACAAAAACCACGAATAAAATGTCCCAAGTCAACCAATTTAAACGTAGTGACATGTAAAGGAATATGAAAAAGCTAAAACGTTGAATTTAAATTGTAATGTCATCGCAGTACTGTCTAATTTTGCATGCTTCGCTGTCAGTCGAACAAACGAAGACTAAAGCGTGAATGACGCTCTGTGTACGATTTTAACGCCCTATAAGTTCGGACACTTTTTAGCGCGGACCCGACGTCCATATAATTGTAAGTCAATGTTACTATCAATTGAAATGATAAAACAAATGTTAGTGTAGCCTGATCAAACTAACGAGAGCAATAAACTAAAAAGAAAATCATTCATCAAAAATTCAAAAAATCAGGGGTGCTACCGCATTTGAAAAAAAATACAAATCAGAATTATCTATATAAACTACGCATACAGAGTGTTTTTTTTAATGGGACAGTCTGGGGAAAACCGAAACCATAGAAGATACAAGGAAACTGTTTTAGGAACCATTAAGTTTTTCTTATAAAAACATTTTTGGCATAGTTAATTATTTGGTTAAGCGTGAGCTGTTCATAAAAATGAATAAAATTGATCAAATTTTTTTAGTGCTACTCGACTTAGTTTCATGAAGGGATCATTTCATTGTATGGGACGAAAAAATCGGGACAGCCGAAGTTGATCAAATTTTATAAAATATTTTTCATACGAAATGAATATAATTGACAATTTTTTTTTAATGCTAATAGATTCTGTTTCTTATAAGCATGAATTTATTTTATGCGAAGAAAAAATCGGGACAGCAGAAGTTGGTCAAATTGAATAAAGAGACTTTTCATGCACAATGCACTCAATTATTGTGAGTGTGAGTGTGGCTATGAGTGTGATTTTTTGTGGTGGTGGGCGTTGAAATTTTTTTTATCTTGCCTAAGTGGGCAGTGAGCCAAAAAATTTGGGAATCTATGATCTAATTGATGTGTTTCGTAATGTCCAAGCTCGCTCTTCATGTAATAAAACTCATATTATTATTAATAATAATAATAATTGAATTTAATAATAATACTTGGATTTCTATGGCGTGTCGCTTCCAGCACAAATGCAGAAGGCGGTCCTGCTCGATACGGCACGTATTGTTCGCCGATTCTTGGACCGGAGTCCCTGACCCCGGCCGACTGTGCCACTGCCGGGAAATACCGCCTCTTCCATTTAAAAATTCAAAATTAACCTTTTAGGCCTTGGGGGAGGCGAGAGTTTACAATAAATACAATAATAATAATAATAACGCACACACTCAACATAGCCCCGCATTAGGGAAACCCTGTGTCGCGAGTGCCGTAGACGCACATATAGACAACCACAAATTACACCCAAACTCACGAGAGAAATAAATGTAGGCCATACAAATACTTCTCCCGGCCCGGGAATCGAACCTGGGACCTCTGCGTGGCAGTCCGGGATGGTAGCCGTTCGGCCACGGAGGCAGTTAATTTATTAAATTCAAGTTAATCAATAGAGCACTAAAATACGACCGTGTGTGGATAGGACAAAGATTTTGGCGCACCTCGTTCCTGTTTACTATCTTATCATATCTTGAGAAGATAACACCATATCAGCAAGCACACAAAACGCTATGGCCCAGTCCGCGGCCTAAATACCCAAGCATCTGACGCCGCTTGTTAAACAAATAAAATTGATATCCCGAATTACCCCATATAATGTGACAAACAAACAAGTGTCAAATTATAAAAACAATGAGTGTATTAAAGTTGGCTTTAATTGTTGTACTTCTAGTTAGTGTTAGTGTCACTGGACAAGAGGATCCTATAGTAAATGAAGATGAAAACATAGTGAGTGAAAATCCAATAGACAATGCTCAGGTTGTTGTTGAGGAAGCACCAGTGGATGCTGAAGATAAGGCACCGCCAGTTGAGATACTGACAGAAAACGAACCTGTGCTTGTTAGAAGTGGGAAGTATCAGCTTTCAGACGATGGTTTGACTGGTGGAGAGCCAATCGACACTGGAGCAGTGAACTTTGGGACTGATGATGGAATTCTAAATCAAAGGCAATTATTGCCACCGCCTTCGCCTACATCTCCTAATGGGGTTTACAATGAATACGGTAAGTGTGATAATTGTCTTGGACACTTTTGAGATATCACGTACTTTTTATACGAATTTTTTTTATTCTTTTGTAATAACTATGCTGTTGATGGTATCCAATTAGCCAAGTATCGAAAACGCTTTTGTGTAAGTAATTTTAAAACTATGCATTTTCTTAACTCGTGTCATTGAAACCGAGATTATGACGTTACGTTTTTGTTGTACCTTGGTAAAAAAATCTTAATTGTATTTAAATTAAATTCTTAGTAAATCAACTTGAAATACTATTTATTACATTAAAATATTTTCAAAAGTGATATATAACTAATAATTGTTAAACATGCACCATAATTTCATATTGTGTACGAAATTTAGGTTAAATAGCTTCATTCGGCGTTCTCGCTAATTATTTGACATGGTGTGATAAGGACCGCACCTTAAAATAAAACATTCAACCAAGACACTTTTGTCAGTGGTAGGGTTATATCAAATTTTATTGTAACCAATTAAGATAAGGGCCCGTCCTTTATCGCGATGAAGGCAAACACTATGTGCTTGTTTCAAAATTTCAACATGTTAGAATAAGAATGATTTCATCGCTCATTATAGTCAGGGATTTATGCTTTTTAGGTCACAGGTTTTTTTAAAGTTAATAGTAAGGAAGTTGAAAATGATAATGCTACTTTTGTAGAGGCTCTACAGAACATGTAGGCTTAATAAATAAGACATAAACAATAAATTGTAAACCAGTTAAATTTGATGTTAAATCTGTTATAACTGAACACCTAATATTAAAAATGATATATTTGCCTATAAAAAATTGATAACGTATTCATTAGCACGTGTTGTACGTATAAAAGTGCCAGGAATGTTTCTTTAAATATACTGTTATCTAAATCAAACATAATGTGACTAGTATTGTGTAGAACGTGATTAGTCACTCTGGATTCTTATGAAAATATAAAATTATGAAATCATACGGCAAACATTGATGATAATAGCAAAGGTACTTAAGACATTGATTATAAAACCTACTGTTCTAAAAGAAAATCTGAAAGTATAAAAATGACTGAAAAAGAACACATTGCCGCATGATAGGCACCTGTTTCCTAAACGGGAAACTAGACGTACTTTATCAGAATTAAAAAAGCGGCTTATCTTTGAACAGATTAAAGATTCATGAATAGTATGAACTAGACTTAAAAATTGCATTACGATTATTACAAACTAAATGAGGAAAGGAAACGTAGTAGTAAACGTTGGTGATGATTTCAAAGCAATATGAAATATGAAACAAAGTCGGACGGTTTCGAACCCTTGGTATAATACTACATTTGCAAAATTACTACTACAGAGTTATTTAAAGATTGTACTAACAAAATTAGTGAATAAAGTGGAACTTTTTATATTCAAATTATTTATTTATTTATTTATTTATTTATTACATAAAATTATACAAACTATGTTTAAAAACAGTAGAGCTATTAAATCCCACTTACGGAATTTGCATGCATTGCATGTACTGCGCATTATTTTTTTGTCTTTCACTTTTGACGTATTTACATAAGGCTTTATTATACTGAGGGCTCGTGTACATGCTAAAAAATTCGACCTGTCTGCTACAAAAACAATGACAATGACCTTGTAAACGACAAGAACTTTGTCGGATATAGCCACGAAATCATGTCGCGTCTGTTGCAGTCGAGAAAACGATGAGTATGTACACGATACGAATGCTTTTCGGCAGACGTAGGGGAAAATGTGTTAGTGCATTACGAGTCTTCCAGGTAGCTGTAGTTTTACTACCGACTATGGGAAGAAATATGTTGACTACTAAGCAACACCCGTCCACGCGCATAAACGTTCGTTTACTGACCATGCACCTCACCCCGCCCCATGCAATAGCGGCAGAGCGCGTCGTTTCGCGGGTAAACAAGATTTTTCTTTTGTCCGGAGCCGTGTACACAGTTCGTGTGTAGAAACGACACGAATTCTTGCATAGACTCGGCGACTTTTCTTAGAGTGGACACGCGCCCTTAGGGTACGATTTTGAATGGTTACACACGGCGATGCATTCGCGCGCTTGAATCGCTAATTAAAATTGCGCGCATGTGTAAAGGTAGACCAGTAGCGACTGCTTCGCTACTGCATCGCGTTTGCATCGCTGCTAAAAGTCGCCGTGTGTAACCGCTCTTATGCTTCTAAATCTTAAATATTTAATTTATTTGCGCGCTAGAACTTGTTTACTTTAGAACAGTCCCAAACGTTTAGAACAGGCCCAAAAAAGATAATGAAAAATAAGCAATTCGTTAATAAAAATAAGTGAAACAAAGAGGCTAAACGAGGTAGTAGCTGACATCACCTATTGCAGGAATCATTTATCTGGGTGATATTAAGCTGATAGCTTATCATTATCGGGGCTAACATCGATATTCCGTTGAATTCCACGATTACTTTGTTCAAACTTTATGATATTAGTCATTATACGCAAATATTTCTATTATTTTCTTCAAGACTACTACTAACTGAGCAGTAACTGCAGTTTAATCGTCGCCTATGTACATTGCAATGCCATTTAAACATAGACAAATGATTGTACAAATTACATAGATTACTATAGGTAAAGGATTCATTTGCATAAACTATGAGAAATATATGAATTAAGTGTATATTATACACACTAAATATAATACTTATGTATGAATAATTAAGAATTCATCTGTGATACTTTAGTCTGAGCTAAATAGATAGTTGCTTGTTAACTAGCTTCAAAGAACTAGGAATTATACTAGTTCTTTGAAGCTAGTTAACAGATTAGCTGTTGACAAGTATAGGTATTAACCTATACTTGTCAACAGCTATTCTGTCAAAAAGGAACTAAAAGGAACAAAATCGATCAGGAAGTGAAGAAACTAAACAAAAGAAGTATGACTGTTACTAATTCTATATCCAACACTTTTCCAACAGCACACATTGACGGTCGAGTGTTACCCTCGACAACGTACCAAAACAATGGTCAGCCCTACGTCATCTCCAACCAGAGGCTTCAGCAGATACGTGGCAACTTTCTTTATTGGTTTTACGACCAAGGCGGCAATGAAAACATCGGTGATTACCAAAGTGATATCCATACTTCGACACCACAGATTCACAAGAATTTCAACTTCCAACTACCGTTCTTCGGATTCAGGTTCAATTATACTAGAGTAAGTATAATTAGTAATAGTACAATCGTTTCGGTTTTTAACTTATTATCATCAAAAGATGATTGGAACTTTTCTTTAAACCATTTATTTAGAATCAGTTTGCTATATTTGGTCGCAAAGCTGAAGAACATTCAATTTACGTCTTCATTCCCTTGCGCACACGCTTCCTTGTTTCGTTATCACGTTAAAACCTCTGTAATATCTAAATTTCACCATTATAATTCAAATTCTTCATTTTCAGCTTTCCATGAACGGTTATATTTACTTCAGTGACCCTCCAGACCACTATACCTACCCACTGGAGTTCCCCACCCGTGATTGGCCCAGAGTCAATGACCCTTCTTTCATCGGCATCTTCTTCAGCAAGTGCCGAATTGGCAGCATGAGACCGGAGGATCCCGATCAAAGGCGACCTGGTGTTTACTTCAGACTAGATAGAGATTTACAGGTATGTTTGTTCCCAGATACTCAAAATTGATGCATATAGTAAGAAATTTCTCATTTCTTTCACAATTTTATTAATGCCACTAATGTCGTTTGTAATTGTGTTGTGTTTTTTCTTTATTAATTTCTACATCTACAAAGTTTTATTAATAAATCATTGTTCTTTTAGACCCGTACAGATCAGTTAGGTGTAGAGATGCGTGAACGTGTAACTTGGGACATTCGCGAGGGAGTTATTGGTTCTGAAACCTTCTTTCCTAAACACGTTATTACAATAACCTGGAAAAACATGTCTTTCGCCGGTGGAATCGACAACTCTTTGTTTGTGGTTGGTATTTATCATTATTTCAACATGTGTTATTCATCTAATTCAAGTAAACATATGATTACTATTTGTTTGTTTTTAGACCAACACATTCCAAATGGTCCTTGCCACAGATGAAGTGTTTACTTATGCGATCTTCAACTATCTTGAAATCAACTGGAGCTCTCACACTGAGGCTGGTGGTGACACAACGACCGGAGAAGGCGGTGTTCCAGCTTACGTAAGTGTTTACTTGTAGAAAAAAAGTACCTGACACCATTTAATATCTTTCCGTTACTGTTTGCTCTAGACTACGTTAATAAAATACTAGAGTATGAACGACGTCGGGCCGTATTCCAGAACTCTACTCAATGCTCAAGTCAGGACTTGAGTATGATTTCAAGCATTGAAAATACGACCTTAATGGCAAGGGCTTGAGTATGATTTCTAGTGCTTTAAATCATACTCAAGTCCTGACTTGAGCATTGAGTAGAGTTCTGGAATACGAACCGTAGACTTGGTCCCAATCACAGTAATGAAAGTGACTTGCTCCGTTGGCTTGCACACCGGTTTTCATGTTGTCGCTATATCTGAGATCCCGGGTTCGATTCCCGGACGGGTCAATGTGAAAAAACGAACTTTTTTGTATTGTTTCGGGTCTTGGTGTTTGTGGTACCGTCGTTGTTTTCGACTTCCATAACAAAAGTGCTTTAGTTATTTACTTTGGGATCAGAGTGTGATGTTGTCTACTATTTAAGTATTTATTTAGCTGCCTCCGTGGCCGGTTACCATGCTAGACTGCCTGTATGGCCTACATTTATTTCTCTCGCGAGTTTGGGTGTAATTTATGGTTATCTACATGTGTGTCCATGGCACCCGCGATACAGAGTTTCCCTAGTGCGGGGCTATGAGTGTGTGCGCGATATTATTATTATTATTAATTAATTTTCAGATCGGATTCAATGCAGGAAATGCCACCAGAAGCTACGAATACAAGCCGTACTCACAAGCATCTGTGTTAAGAGATTTGACAGGACGAGGTTGGGCCAATGGGTTCCCTGGACGGCACATCTTCAGAATAGATGAGAATATACTTATGGGAACTTGTAACAAGGATATCGGTAAGCACATTGCAATCATGTCTAGTTTTGAACTATGTACGTTCGAAATAAATTACAACTTATGAACATTTTTTTGCATTGTTTTCTCGTAGATGGCGCAAATCTACCGTTGATGTTTGCCCCTGAGAGTGGTAACATGCTCGGTGGGACCATAGTTAATATCACCGGTCCGTGTTTCAACCCTAATGACAGAATATCCTGCCGTTTTGACACTGAGACTGTCGTGGGTGCTGTAGTCGATAAAAATAGAGCTGTATGCGTTCAACCACGATTCTATCACAATGGTTATGCTAGATTTGAGGTCGCCATTAATAACGAGCCTTATAAATGGAAAGGACAATTCTTTGTCGGTAAGCTCTTAATACTTAAATTTCTCTTGGATTTATCAGGAAAGATTTGCATAATAAATTGAATGTGTTTATTACAGAAACTCCTGCAACAGCGGCTGAAAAAATCTTTTTCCCAGGCGATTCTGTACACGAGAGATATCCTGCAGAAGTCAAAATAACCTGGGACCGCTTTAACTTGACCACCAATCTTAACGTCCAACTTCAAATCAGCTTATGGGGATACAAAGAAGTAACCATTCGTCCTCAACTCGAATATATCGACATTATTGACGCTGGAGTCGCAAATACTGGAGAATACACCATCAATCCTCAGAACTTCAGGAATAGAGAAAACATAATGCACAACGACATGCAATTTGGTTTCCTACAAATTAACTTAACTACTCCTGAAGTTTATAAAGGCATATCTATATCTCCGTGAGTAATTAAATAATATTCTTTTTTAGAAAATTTTCTCTGCAAGTTAACTGTCTAAGTGAATTAATATTATTTTCCTCTTAATTAACAGTATTCTTTGGAGTCGCCCAATTCCTCTTGGATGGTACTTCGCTCCTCAATGGGAAAAACTTCATGGAATCAGATGGCCTCAAACGATGTGCAACAACTGGCTCCGAACGGATCGTTTCCTTAAAAACTTTGCCTCTCAAGTCTGGGTGTGCCCGTGTACTCTCGAACACGCGTTACTGGATAAAGGTCGCTTCATGCCTGATGTAAACTGTGACAGGGATTTGAATCCGACTTGTAGATATCACTGGGGTGGTATTCATTGCGTCAGAAGCGGTTCTCCAAGGTAGTTTTTTTTCTATGTTATAAATTACATAATAAATATGAAGCATGACATAATTCTTAATTTTTTTTATATTTTAGTGCTGAAGGCTCAGGTCAGCAATGTTGTTACGATAAGAACCAAATGCTAATGTTATCGTACGATCAGATGTGGGGTTCTCATCCCCAGCGCTCTCACGACTTTGGATTTACCCCATATAATGAGGCTAACAAGGTAATAAATTACTATTATAGTTCTATTTTAAAATTGTATGCTTCCTGTTCTGAATAATCTTGACACGGATTTTTATTAAAGGTTCCATCATTATCCAACTGGTTCCATGACATGATACCTTTCTACCAATGCTGCTTGTGGCAAGAGGAACAGGCAGTTGGATGCGAAACCTACAGGTATGTAAATTTAGTTGAAATAGCCGTAACCAATATGTACCCGTAATGTAGCCGTAACCAGTATGCACAAGTCTACTGGTAAACTGTTCTTTCAGATTTTGAACCAACGTTTTTAACCAAGAAGAATAGAAAGAGTTTGGTTCAATCTGAAGTACATACCATACCAATCACTTAGTAATTAAGAATCTAGAAATCAACTGCAATAGTTTACTATAAAAAAAATTGTTAGGATCGATGATTACGTAGGTGATGGTTCTTGTTTTGATTCTGACCACTTCGTTGAAAAACGTTATTTTTTTTGTAGTGATTTCTGATTGGGAATCTAGGGTTCTCTTGAGTTTTCTTTCATTTACGAATATATAGATTGATTTATAGTTGTTTTGTACGGGTTCATTATTATGGGTGTTTTTCGCTAGTTCTATAGTGTTACAACTGGTCTACTGGTCTACTCGCGCATCAAGATCTATTTTAGATCTTATTTTGTTTAGGTTTAAAGTTGATTTTTGCGAATCAAATTATCATCAAATCGTTTGGATAAGTCTTGAGCTATACGTTATTTATATTGTTAACAGGTTCGAAAGACGACCTTCACAAGACTGTGTAGCGTACCAATCTCCTGGAGTCGCCGGTATATTTGGAGATCCTCACATTATTACTTTTGATGATTTGCAATATACTTTCAACGGCAAAGGTAGGTACAATATTTACTACAATTACTAAATCTGTTATAAACGAAATTGACATACCATTGAAACTAATGTCGATTTTGATAATACTTTATTTTTCAACGACGACACACACTTTTAAATTGATAAAAAGAATAATAACCAATATGCTCTTTCATAGGTGAATATGTCCTGGTTCGAGTAGACCACGCTCAACTAAAACTAGACGTGCAAGGTCGATTCGAGCAAGTAGCTAGGAACATCTACGGCCCAGTCAACGCTACGCATATTACTGCAATCGTTGCTGCTTCTAATAATTCTGTTCCTATTGAGGTTTGCATTTATTCTTTATTTGCATTAACTGAGTATAGAAGATCTCTTTACGCTACGATTGATTCCGCCATTTGTACAAGTTGCCACACGCTGGTAAAGTCTTGTGCAAAAAACTCCCCACACTATCAATCTGTGTTTGTATTTAATCCAAACAATTCTACAGGTCCGTCTTCGCCCTGAGCACGCCCAATGGAGATACAGGCTCGATGTGTTTGCTAACAATAAGCGGATTTTCTTCGATCGTCCGGCTCTAAGAGTGCAGTATTTCCGAGGTAATTTATTTCTAAAACGCCTTATTTTATATCTTCCCATAACTTCCACTAATAATAACAGGACTGGTTGGCTTTGCACCACATTCATTCGGGAAGAGTTGTGTGTCGCTTTCTTAATATCTCAATACAGTTACCTAGAAATCTACACTATCACTGACGGCCATAATGTAATTACTATGTTTAACACATTGTCTCTTATAAACATGGCAAGAAAACTCTTATTTGAATGCAGACCATACCTTGCCTTATAAATCTTAATTTACAAAACTGAAGATATATGCAATTTTATTACCTAAAATGAAATTCTTTGTTCGGTAGGTGTAACAGTATACCAGCCCATGTACAAAATAGACCAATCAGAAATCGTCATAATGTTCCCTTCGGGAGCTGGAGTTGAGGTCGTGGAGAATAGAGGCTTTATGTCTTGTAGAGTCTATTTGCCTTGGACTTTCATGGTAAGATTTGATTAAATTTTTTTGCCTTTTCAATAAAGGTAAAGTTGCATAAACTTCTAAATAGTTTAGTGTTTAGTTGCTAATATTTGCACTAAATTATACAATAATTATATAATTCTGTGGTTGTAATCACCCCCTGAAACAAAACAAATAAGTTTTGGGGTCCTAATTTATTTTTAATTAAGGACCATCAATTAATTACAAATTATACTGAAATATTTACCAGGACTCAAAATGCGTATATAAGTGCAATCAAATGATACTAAAACATTTGGAAATTTAGCTATAAAGTAATAATTTTTCTACAACTTTTTTAAATTCCTCTAATGTGCGTGGCAATACAATACAACGTTTAAATTGATTTCATATTGCTCTGGAGACAGAGCGGATGATTTTACACGCCGTGAATTTTGTCCATCCAAAAATATCCCCGGAGCATTGAGGTAGAGTTCCCGTGGCGTAGAACCGTCACGTGAGCAGTACTTCTTCTATAGGCGTGATCGCATGATTTCTAAAATCAAAATTTAATTAGATTGTCAATATTGGATACCTCTCTGTTTAGGTACCTATATTACTTATTACGATCTAGTTTATAATAGGTAGGTACATACTTACCTTGTGGTGGGACTTTTTAGATCATTTCCGATATCACTGACTATACACATTACTGTTTCCTTTAAAGGCGATAACGTTGGCAAAAGTCTACATTGTCACAGTTTCCAACGTCGGGTTGCGTGGTTTGAATGTTTTAGGCCTACTCAATAATACGTAACGTAATTCGTTATAACCTCTTTATCTGACGAACTTTCCGAGGTGCTAAAGTAAAGTAAACTAAAGTATCTAACTATGTTCAAATTCATAATTAAATTAAATTGTAACTTTACGTAAACGCTAGTGATAATGACAATCCACCAACAAACCATCCGCCATATTGCTTAACCCGCCAATGGCGCGCGTAGTTTATTTTTATGACCAATGGTTACTAATTTGACCAATGATTACACTAACCTGTTGTCAAAAAACACACTTTATTGAGATTTAGCCCTTGGTTACGATTTTAACTAATAGTTCAGTTAACTATGGATCGAAAAACAGGTCCTTTAAGAAAGTAGGCAACATACGCAGTAAATGATGAAAACTAAATCATAACAATTTATTCTATACTTTGTCAAATATAAAAATTTCAGATTTAGTGACTAGAATTATTTTACTGATTACAATTTCAAATTTTACCAAGAGCTTGATTGAATAAATGCGTATATACTACTAAATACGTATACCGTACATTTTAAAGCACCCTTTATATATTTTTAGCTTGATGAAAAGGTCTTATAATATTATAAGACTGTCTATTACTCGTTTCATTGTTGGATATTTATAATTATCTGACACAGTTATCTAATAGTTTACAGTCATTAGTCATTACACACTTACCTTTTTTACTAACTCCTTTAGGAAATAAATTTATATTGATCCAACTTCTATAGTAATTATTATAAATTCAACAATTGCCTGATAAAGAATGTAAATATAGAGCAAATTATCTCACGAGAATATCAACAATAAGAAAGCATGTTAAATCTGCTCTATATATATATATATATATATATGTGTCGTATTATGATTAAAGAATAATAATAAAAACAATTGGTCGTGTCATTGAATTCGTGCACATTTTAACAAGATAATCCTGACAGCACTGGTAGGTGTTTCATAGTTCGATCTTTTAAAAATAACCTGCCTAATCGAAAATATTTTTTTCAGAACCAAACTCGTGGTCTGTTTGGTAATTGGTCGCTGAATGTGAATGACGACTTTACTCGGCCTGATGGCACTGTGGTTCCTACCGATCTCAACAACTTCCAATCGGCTCATAGGGACTTCGCAAGTTATTGTAAGTTGTAAATGTTGTAATTGTTGTAATTGTTTTATATGTTGTTATTGTTGTAAATGTGTATGTAACCTGCATTATTGGTCCCGTCTACTTCAGGATAGCTCTCAGCCTTATGAGAAACCCAGAAAACGCGTTTCGTGAACTTATTTACTGAGTTGTACGATGTATGATGAAAATTGCAATGATTATATAAATGACACCAGAAACACAAAATAATTCAATTCTGGTTATGTTTCGCAGTTTAGTATTAAAGATACGACGGATAAAAATTTAATTTCACCCCGAACACATAACTCTCAGACCTTTTGCTGCGTTGCCCGTTGTCTATCCATTAGCAGCAGTAGAACTCCTTGTGAAAGAGTTCGTCCAGGGAAGTACTGCCACCTTACCTATTTCTGCCGCCAACCAGTGATGTGACCATTACTGCGTTGCGGTTTGGATGGGTAAGGGTGCTGGTGAGATTACGGGCACATGAGACTTGTCAACTTATGTGACGGGCGCATAAGTTGACAAGGCTTCGCTTAGGTATATAGCATAAGACCTACAAGTATGCATCAATGAGGAGCGAAAACGAAAATATTTACCAAATTGACATCTCCAAGCCATCAGTCAAAACGAAATACTATTGGTTGCCTGGATTTGGAACACATTGGGCCTCATGGACCGAAGTATCTAACTTCTCTCTCACACTCGGTCCAAGCTGGGTCACTCGTATTATTCATTGAGGTCGCAGGGCTTTGTAGAGCTAAATAGTTGTATTTTATCGTACAATTCGTTCATTCCAGGGCAACTTTCCGATCGAGAAGTACGAGATGTTGGTGTAGCATTATTTACAAGAGAATACGGTCGAACCGCTGCATATTTCAACGATAACAACTTTATTCCCAACTTTATAAGAGAGCCTCGCGACTTCCTACCTATAAACAGAACCCACGACATTAACAAAGCGGTAGAATTGTGTCAGGACTCCTACCAATGTCGATATGACTACGGCATGACTTTAAATCGACAGATGGCTGAGTTTACCAAGAATTCCTTGTCTGCTATCGTGAGTATTATACAAAGGTCATATACGTCATCATCATCGATCCATCAATCTCCCACTGCTTGATCGGTGTATACTCTAAACTGTAGTTTAAGGCCACAGTCTACACCCTGCCTCTCGGTTGGGGCATTAGATACGATGAGTTACATGAAACTTCTCTGGCAGGCAGATTTCATCACAATATAAGTGCCATACATACACACCAATTCCCTAATTGGAGCAGCGCAACAGCACAACAGAATTCTGAGGCACTTCCCAGAACACCGTGTACGAATTTAGAAAAGTTCATTTCCCAAATTGTTCCAGCGTCCACTATATCAACCGTTGAACCACGGAGGTCCCCCATTTTCCACAAACTCATGATTTGAACTTGACTCAGGTTTTAATGTTGTACCACGGTGATTTAACATCACATGTGCAGGTAGTGCCCCAGAGTGGATTCCGTTGCTCTATTTTTTAACCAGGCACCAAACCATGTACACACACGCACGCACACACACGCGCACACACACACACACCGACAGAGAGAGACACGCACGCACGCACGCACGGACGCACACACAAACACACATTTTGTCTCCAACTCAGTGTTAAATCGACAGTTGATTATATCAGTATTTTGTTCCTGCAACACGTTGCAGTAAAAAAAATCGTGCTGTAAAATAATAACAACGATCTTCCACGTAAAAGCAGGATTGTCACATACGTTATGTGGTCGGCGATAAGGGAAAGTTGTGCTTGAAATTACTTACAATAGTCCCTACAACATTATTTCCTTTACAAAAAAAACCATCAAAATTATTTCTCAACCCCTACAATGTCTTTACCTCCAGCATGCCTCTTGCGCGATGTCGATGTTGTTTAGTTTCTCGGATATGTACATTATAGCGTCTAGCATCCGCCATATTGAATTTTTGCCGACATATTGTCAATGCAATAGACAAAACAAAAAATGTGAGCTGGAAGAATCCATGACTCAACAATATACCGTGATTCATTTTTGTGTACTTCATAAACAGAATTAGGTACCTAAGAAATATTGTCCCACGTATTCTTTGATATACGACATTGGCAATACTAAAATATCAGACAACTATCTTGTAAAAAATGTGGGTATTCAAGTACAGTGGAGACCATCCGCCATTAAAACTAACCGACCAGCCTTTAAAAGTTCTCCGTGAAGATTATACTTTTGCGATGTTTAGGAACCTAGATTTCCCCAATATCCTCTTATATATCATGTACATTGAGTCCTTAGGTTTTCTCGATTATATATGGAAATATAGGACATGAAACTATTTTTTCGGGTCTAAATCGCGTATATTTGTTTTTTCAAACCAACGTTGCCCCTTCACAACTCCCATGGTCGCGGATGATTGTCCGAAAAAATAGTTACATTTCCTATCATATAGTTTTTTTAATAATTTTAATGGCTACTTCTTAGCGTGTAGTTATAGGAATTATTTTGTATTTTGCAGTCTGACTCCCACTATGCAGCAGGTGCTATGCAGCTAGTGTGTGCATAGTACTTTGGTAATAGAAATTCAAACTTTTATTTGAACTTCAATAGTAATTTTTGTGTCGGTAAATCCATAAGAGACATAGATTATACGATTTATTTTAAAAATACTGAATATACTGCAGTAAAATCATTCTGTACGAAAAGGAAAATTTTTTACACAAATTTATATGCATTTTATCAATAGTCGCGTGCGTATTTAATATGTTTTGTATCCATTGTTCTTTAATTGCCCTACGTCCCAAGGTTTTTTGTTCAAGGGACGATTTATGGCTAATTATTTCGCAGTCACTTCGGTAGCGTACAGGAGACAATTACTTTTGCTCGTCTCTCTTTTTGTATAAAAGTTTATTTAAGTACATAAAAATATGATATTTAGTCGTTGAGGAGTTTCATGACGTATTTCCAAAGTCCTTATCGAAGTGTATCTCAGTGAGCAATATCTCAAACAAAAAGGAAATCATTCACATCCGTAGTTATTTTGCTTGAAAAAAAAAAAGAAAATTCTAAGGTAGGCGTTAGAGATAGTTGAGAGTGAACATGAAAGTACGACCAATTTGAAAAGTTTATTCATAAGTATGTTAAAATATAATTTTGATTTCTCTTAGACGAACATCAAGGAACAAAATGCACGGCGTGTGATTAGTTGCGGTATTCTAGAGACTCCGAGATTTGGCCGAAAAAGTAACTTCTTCTTTACACCTGGAACTAGGGTAAGTGCGTGTGCGTTTGAGCGTGTACCAACGTATTGAAATCAGAAAATAAACCGATCAAGTAGAAAATATATTGGAATAATTGAAAATTAACCCTGAACCTTTATCATTTTTAACTTGAGTATCGTATTTTCCAATTTGTCTATCTCCAAGATAGTTTGAATTCGCTGTATGTACGAACGACCTCCGTGGCTGAACAGTGCATGGTAATGCTGGACTGCCACGCAGATGTCCCGGGTTCGATTCCCGGGCTGGGAGGAATATTTGTATGTATTTATTTATTTGGGTGTAATTTGTGGTTGTCATGTATGTGTACCTCATGGCACCCGCGATACAGCGTTCCCCTAGTGCGGGGCTATTAGTGTGAGCGTTATTATTGTATTATTATATTATGTATTGCTCAAACTCTCAGACTTTAAAGATTAATGGTATTTTATTTCTATTAGGTCAAATTCGAGTGCAATCAAAACTTTATCATTATTGGCGACAAACGCAGAATCTGCGAGGATAACGGAAGATGGAACTTGCCTGATCATGGATACACAGAGTGTCTACGTAAGTATCTAGTCTCATTGAATATTGATGATACTGCATTACGCGTATTTGTTTCTGCAGTAATGTGTACGCGTTTTATCATAATCACAAATTCGATACGTTTAAACTAAGTCGAGATCTTTGATATCCAGGTAATCAAGAATACTCTCAACGCGCGCTGTTTCTGACCTGGGGCATCATAGTGGCAATTATTCTACCATTAGCTCTCCTCATATGCATGTCGTATTTCTGGTGCTGGTACAAACCAAGATCAGAAGGCAAACAGGGATTTCGTTTCGAGGACATACCGCGATCTAAATCGGCGTCCAGACTTAATCTTAGATCAAATTCAATGGGTAATATCACGGACACGGCAAAGTCTTCGACGTTGCGCAGTCAGGATTCCGATGTAAAGGAACCATTACCAAGTACATCTTCTAAAGAAACTCCATTAATTAAAGGCAATATTACTAGAGCAGCTCCTTTACCTCCACCCGTTCGAGACGGGGATAGTTCAGGGTTAGGATATGCAGACTCCACTAGGAGCGATTCCGGGAGATCCGATAAATCAGGGTCAAGTAAAAAACGTCGAGCTTATGATAAAACATATAGAACTAATGAGCCGCTACCCGGTGCTCCTGATGTAGATTTCCCCGAAAAGCTTTGGGATTTATCTGAAGAAGATCTACTATCTCTAACTTCTCCATCTGAAACTGAATCTGCTCAAGGCTCTACATTAACACGACCCGCTAAGGATATTGAATACATCAGTCGTCCCCGCCAAACTGGTCGTCACGCTTTGGCCAGTGATTCTGGCTATTCTACTAAAGATGGTTCTGACGATCCCTATTCTCCAAAATATACTGGCCAATACAGTCCCATTGCATCCTATTCTCCAACTTACTCTGACATTTACTCTCCTCCACTGAGCCCTACTTCTGGTAATAGTCCGAGGAACACATTTAACAATCCTGGACTACCAGAACCTCCGAAAAGTGCCCCTATTGACAAAATAAAAACTTTCACTCTTCCTCCCAAGAAGGGAAAATCTGTAGAGACTCTCATAGACCCACCGACTTCAGAAATGCCTACGTTTAGTAGTAAGTCCACTATGGTTTAATCCACCTTCTTAGATTATCAAAAAACAATTTGAGGTTAAGAAATCTTTTATAGTCTAATGATATCAACCTGACCGACCTGTGTTACTTCATATTTGTTTTTCTGATGAATTAAAGTTTCATAATACTTTCATAACTTTGATTCATTATTTCTTACCTTTTACGTACCTACTTACTATTTATTAAAATATGAAGTTGCCTTAATTAACAATATCATACGAACTAAAATAGAAAACTGTTCACTGCCCAATATAATGACAGACTTAGAGCGTAAGCGCCAGATAAAATTAATAATATATTGATCAATATTCTAACAAGTAAGGTGCTAGTTTAATCAATTAACAGTATTGTCGTGAGTTTCCCATTGAATATATGGTTTCCAATCGTAGTATTAGACACAATGTTTTATTTATATTTTGATTAGATTATATAAAAGAGTATTAAACTTATTTTACGAATAACCTTGGTCACATCGAGAGGAAATTTCTGTTCCGTAAAATGGTAGAATGACTTCCCTATGGCTGCTGTTTCGTTATTAAATTTGTTTTTGTAAGAAAGCAAGTAATGCCACGTTTTTGTGTGGAATAGAAATTTTCTTTGCTATGTGATGCGTTTCATTTTTTGCCTAATCGTAAAAAGATTATTGCTTGCTTTCTTATCTTGTGTACACAGAAATGTAGGTTGAGTAAACAAGGTGAGTACAAACCATTTTTTTTTTTTGCTAGCGATAACATTACTGAAATAATTGGGGCATCTGATAAAATCAGATATTTAGTTTTGTGGGTTACTTTGTATGTGTGACCTATATCTGGAAGTTATTGATTTTTTAGGGTTATGGTCCAATAATAATTGTTATCGTATTGTAGATATAAGGTTACAATCTTAACACTTCAAACCTTAGTTTATACATCGAAACGTACTGCGTAACTGGTTACTCTTGCATCTACCTAGATATCTAATGAACCCTAATGAAATCCATTTTTAAATCAATTTTATTAATACGAAACCGTTAGGCAAATACGTAAATAGCGTGAAACAAGTAGTATGAATTTTGATAAGAATACGGGATCATAATATATGGAGATAAAGGCTACTTCCTTTTGTACCTTGAAATAGTGACGTAATTTTTCACTTTAGACATTAATATTCTTGATGCCAGTTGATCTTATTATTTGCTGCCAAGCAGAAATTTGAGCATTACTGCGTTCCGGTGAAATTACAGGCACGTGGGTCTTGCCAACTTATGTCTCAGGGCGACAGGAGCAGTGGCAGTGATCGTAAGATATTTACAATGTAAAGCTCTGAGTAGCACTGTAACTGCTATGGACAGGTGTGTCGCTTACCACCAGTCACTTATAAAAAAATAACTAACTCTCCAAATCTCAGTAATATCGCGAGGTCTCAATAACTTGTAAGATTTTACAGGGTAGGTTATCCTCCATTGTCCATTTATCCCACCGACCATTTTGGGTACACACGCCCATGACTCCTTTCACACTTTCTTAAATACCTATAAGCTCATATCGAGTTCTTAGGTTTTCGCGATTGTTACACATAGAAAATGAAACTATTTTCCCAACCTTACAAACCTTTTGTTTTTTTGGTTTGTTTGAAAAAACAAATATACGCGATTTAAATCCGGAAAAATAGTTTTACCGATAAGTTCATTACTCCTCTTTAAATACTCATATATAGACATTTCTGTTGCAAAATGAGTATGCTTTTGTACTACAAATACTACGTGGATATTTTCAAGTTGGTTTTTTCTGGCTAATTTTGGTGGCAATTTTTATAGTTTCAGTATTCTAGAACATTATCGTGAAGTATTAGGTACTTAATATTCGAGTGTAGCATCCTGAAATATTATTTAATATTTCTCGATAATATACTCGATATATACTTAGAAATAAAAATATGAAACTAGCGTCCGTTACTGTGCTGGATGCTTATCGAAAATAATCAGTATCGATGTTGTGTACAGTATCGATTATAACTCGAAAGCTGAAGTAAAGTTTTTACCGTCAGTCGGAATTTCGGAATTGGAATTTCTTTTTGAATTAAATTGTTTTTAATGCTCTACGAGTTATATTTATATTTACAAATATTTTACTGACGAAACAATTTTTAAGAGTGTTTAAAATTATAACATTCTTCCCACGCCTAGATAAACTTTGACTGTAAACTTGATCTATGACGAATATTACGCAGATTTGAAAGGAAAAGAGTAAGGTAGTTTTTGCATACAATTCAACTTATGCTTAGTTATTAAGTATATTCGAGTATTCATTCTTAATTATTAAAGAAACATAATCACATGTTGACAACTGTTTCAAAAAACCAGTTTACTATTATAATATGGTTACTTTTTATTATTCGGATACATAAACAGATATTTCTTAAAAAGTCGTATCAAAATAATACAATCTCAGACGCTACTCGCATTTGGTATCGGTTGGAACTCTTAACGGTAACTGGAGTCAGATGAAACAGAACAACGAAAATCTTTACAGCCTTTCTACAAAATTACGATACGACCTCCTCCATTACCTCCAGTCCACATACATCTAGATTTATGTCTGTGCTCCAGTCCAAGCACAAACCATCAGACACGGTATTGCATAAACGTCAACACACACCGGAAATAATCGAATATCGTACTATATAGTTTTCTATTCTATTCTAAGCAGAAACTCGATGTAATATAATTTAAAAAATGTCCACTATGAACAGGCAACCAGGAGTATTCGGCTCGCACATTGGGCGCTACATGGGGAATCATTAGTGCGGTAATGCTGCCCATTGTAATCGTCCTCATCTGCATCGGATGGAGGTTCCTTAAACGACGCAAGAGAGAGGAAAAGGAAGAAGAAGATTTTTTGCGAGTCAAGTAAGTTACTGGGTACTGTAAGGATCTTACGCTGATCTCTAGATCGTCTCGTGTTTTTACCTGCTGACCGTATCGGTATCCACGCTATATGTGTGTATATACGTACACGGCTCGCGGCAGTCGTGCACACATTGGACTTACCATACTTGTCTTATTTTCCTATGCTGCAACTGTAATAGTCCATATACCAAGTCGCTCAAGAACATTGATTTTTTTAATTAAAACTCCATCCTTTAGCTTATAATATGATGTATCTGAAGATGTCTCTCAAAATAAACGATCTCTTGGGAAGCTGTTTACAATACGATTGGAAAAATCTCAAAGATACAGCTTTGGCATATCATTCAGTATTAAAAGATACTATTCCACAGGACCAGACCAATCGACCCTGATGAATCAACAAGGATAAACTCCGATGACGATAGCATCCCATACAAGAAGGGCATGGTTGAAGACAGTCCTGAGCCAACGGATTCTGTTAAGGCCATAGATAGTCCACTCCCTAGCGCAGATCCACCACCTAACCCCAATACTTTTGGGATACCGTATACAGAGCCAGCTTACGACCCTAATCTAACATACCAAGCTCCACAGTTTACTTACGAAGAAAATCTGGACCAACCACAGCCCCCACCGCCTCCGCCTGAGCCTGGGCAAAGCAGGCAATGGCGAGGAGAAACCGAGATTAATTAGGTCATAATATGTTGCGGTAGAATATTTAATTCCACTAAACAAGTGTTACAAACAATGTTTTTCATTCCCGACATAATCGAAATAAGATCAGATATCATCTTTAGGTTACTATGAAATAAGTTTCAAAAAGCTTCAAAGTTTTGGTGTGACTTGTTTTTTTGCGTCGAGTTCTTATTAATTGTTATTCGGTTTCATTCCGCAAAAGTATGAATTTGTGTTAATATAATATAATATATTGTACGTATAATAAATATAAACTGTAGATTTAATTAGCAGGTACTTTAAATTTTAGGTATCGTAAACACAAATTACTAAGACGACTATTTTACATTTGGATTTATATACATTTGCACTGTGTTGTGTCCCACAAGTTCATATAAGTTGTATTGGTTCTTTTAGACATGACATGAAGACATAATATTGTTTATTTTTTTATTGTACTTAAATACGTCGGTTTTTAAGAGATAATTTATGCAGGCGCCATTTTGTGCATTTACTTTTATTTTTAAATACTATAATATATTTCGTATAGTTTAAATATGCTTGGCAATTTAATATTTTGTATTTAATAATAAAAATAAAATTAAACTTAACGAGCTACCAACACGTGTATGTTTATTTTCGTATCTATTACTTATTATTGAGTACACATAAATATCAGTGGAAAAGGCAACTATTCCAAATCTATTTAGAAATCCCATTTTTCAAATGATTTCTTCAGATAAATCAATCAGAATCTGAGGTTAGCGCAGCACTCTGGGCGGAGCCAGCGTGGGAATTATTTTTGAAAGTCCAATCTTAAAATTACAGCAGCAGCCCTGTTTGTCACAAACACAGTGAAGTCAGCTCGTTAGTTTCTTAACAAATTATTTCGATGTTTTGCTTGTGCTTTTTAGCTAACACAATAGTTTACTCACATGTATGTATATGAATTGCGTTTTACAACTTAGGTGAAAATAATTTGAAAATCTTTTCACTCCAATTCTCAATACTTGATCCCAAGGCCATTGTAACAAAAATATTTTCGAGTATATTTGTTTGACACTGAAGATGAGGCGGTATACCTAATGACCCTAGCCTATTCTTTTTGGACGAAACGAAAAAAAACTATTGACATTGACATTTGACACAAAATTTTGGGCAAATGTCAAGTCAATCATATTCACATAATAAAGTTAATTCAATACCTATTTATTTTAAAGTGTGATAGTAAAGTCGTTATTATAGCAAAAGATTTCCCCGTTATTAATGAAAAGTTACAAAATATAGTGATTAGACAAAAAGCGCAATAAATTAACAACAACATTATTTTCAGGAGAGGTTACAAATATACAATTTTATGACATTTTAATGATTTATTCTGGTAATTAAGTCATTATTATTGTAAGGGATTATTTATGAGTACTAGTATCGTAAATTGACACAATAAAGCCTTATTACGGTGTACACGACGCGGAAAAATCCAGATTGTGGAAAACATTGGTAAGTCTGTTTACTAAATTACACTTTGTAAGGTGTTTAACTTTCTTCGTGGTAAGTATGAGGCAAAGATACAGACTCGTACAATTTATATATTTCTTCACTAAGTTTTCAACAAAGTGAACAAGTGAATTAATTTTGTGTATAAATCTTGTGCCCATTTCAACAAACAGCTTCTAAGTCTGGTACTAAATTATGTATTTACTACCTTACTAAAATGTCATTCAGATTTCAAGCTCTCCTGTATTAATAGACAATTATTTTAAGCAAGATCTAGCAATCTTGCAATTGAGATGGATTTATTATTTATAGGGCCTTATGTTTCAAATAAATGTAAAAGTAAAAGGTATGTTCCTACAATTTACGTGTTTGAGAAGTGAAGTGAAACACAGAAATAAGCCCATGACTATGTATACCTTTCTGTTTATTTATTTAGGTTTACCAATATTTGACTACATTATTACATTGTTATAGTCCATCTGTTTAGGTACTTAACTAAATGTAAACAATCTTGAGATGTCAATTTAATGAAATATACATTAATAAAATGATTTTCCCTTACCTTCAAATACAAAATACAAATACTTAGCTTCATATGAAATTGCATGCCTATTTTTATACCTATTGATTTGTAAAGCATGTGTTTCAATAAAAAGATGTATCAAGATTATTTACATTTAGTTAAGTACCTAAACAAATGGACTACAGGAATGTATGCCAGGAACAACTTGCAAGTGCAGTTGAAAACATGAAAACATTAACCAAAGAGCAACAACAAAAACACAAACAATAATTGAGTAGTTCTAATCACGATGGAATTCATCGTCTTATTTAAGAGCCAGACTCATATTAATACAAAGATCAAACACATAGAAAAAATGTTATCAATCCGGCTGGATTTGAACCGACGTCTTTTAGCAAACTGTGGCAAAACAATTATAACAAAGTAGTCGAGTAATTTCACAAAAAATAATTGAATATGAAGGTAGTCAAACATCCTGCCATTCAATAAAACACTTAAGCCAGACTCTTGTCAGTGTAGTCTCCTCCAGTGTTCATAGCCAGTTTTTTGACCTTTCTATAGCCATACAAGCCATTCTTGGTCTTCCTCTCTTTCTTTTTCCCTTCTATCATCCTTCAATTATCACTCTCACGAACTCATCATCACGTAACAAATGTTCAAAAGACTTCTCTCGTCCCCAACCCTTTCCAAAACTTCTTCATTTGATCTCTTTTTAACAATTTTTAACGAAATATTTTGACAAAATTCTTACTCATAATTTTTTTATCCCTATTTTAGTTTGTAATTTAGCCTTGCAAATTTGCAAAGATGTTCGTAATGTATTAACAATACATAATGTAATGTATTGTTAATACATTACGAACATCTTTTTTTATGTTCCCGACAACTTTCTTTCTCAGATTTAAAAAAAAAATGGTCAGGGGACTAATAAAATGGTTGGGAAACATATGTAAAATGAAACAAATCACCATAAAATCGTTTATTTTTTAGCTTTAGCTAAGCAGAAAACATGCAAAATCCATTGTACATTAATTTTTCAGTCTCAATAAATCACTTAGTAACATTAGGTAACAAAAGTATTTAACTGAAACGACAACGTGCAAATTATAAAATACTGTCTAGTCAGTAT